GTGTGTGTGTGTGTGTGTGTGTGTGTGTGTGTGTGTGTGAGAGAGAGAGAGAGAGAGAGAGAGAGAGAGAGAGAGAGAGAGAGAGAGAGATTGAGAGATTGAGAGATTGATATTGATTGATTTCAGGACTTGAAACAGACTTCCTGGCCCACAAAGCCTAAAATGACGATTATTTAGGCCTTACATGTGGATAGCTGACCTTCCCCTAGAGCGATTTGCTTTTTGATATTCTGATTTTCCTAAATAAAAGCATTCTTTGGGGTTAAAAAAAAATAGGTAAAACTTACTTAAAATATTGATGAATTTGGTTATTCTTGGAGTTTTGAGATCAACTTGCCTTCTGGCAACTATTGGCCCTGCCTAGTGGGTGAACAGTAAAGCCAGAGGTAGTTAGGGGTAGGTATCAGCAACTGCCTGTACACTGTTTAATGGAACATCACGACCTCTACCAGACGGTTATGCAGTATTTAACTCAGCAGATTATCTTCTCAGAAAAGTCTGGTTTTAATCTTCGTTTTCTGGGCCTCTTTCAGTTTTTGAGAACCTGTTTTTTGCCATAAATTTGGAACTGAAGCACATTTTTGTGGTTACAGCAAATGCTTGAGAATCAGAGTACAGTTCTTTGCTCATCTTGCAACAAGACCATGTTCTCAGTCTGTTTTGCCCTTGAATGAGGTCTGTCTTACTCTGACAGCAAAGGGTGTTTACTCAGGTTCTGTCTTCTAACTTAAGGAAAAGAAAAAGGAGGGGGAAACTGAAGAAAAAAAATTGAGGATCTTGCTGTACTGTATGGCCCAGGCTGGCCTCAAACCCTGGGCACAAGCAGTCTTAACCTCAGCTTTCTGGGTAACTGAAATGTCAGGTGGTGCCACTGTATCTGGCTTAATTTTAATGTTACATTTAACCCAGTGTATCCAAAATAGTAAAATGTTACCAACATCTTTCAGTTATTAACATTCTAGGCTAGAGAGAGCTCAGTGGGTGAGACTGAGCCCATGTGTAAACAGCAGGTTTAGCAGTACACACACAAAATCCCATCACTGGGGAGGCTGAAGCAGACAGATCCCTAGGGCTCATTCCCAGCCAGCCTAGCCTGCTTGGTGACTTCCAGACCAGTGAGAGGTCATGTATTTATTATGTATACAGTATTCTGTCTGCATGTGTGCCTGGAGGCCAGAAGAGGGCACCAAATCTCACTATAGATGGTTGTGAGCCACCATGTGGTTGCTGGGAATTGAACTCAGGACCTCTGAAGAACAACCAGTTCTCTTAACCACTAAGACAAACAGTTCTTGAGGAACCAGCCCAGCGGACAGTTCTTAAGGAACACAACAGTTGCAGTCCTCCTCTAATCTACACATGGTGTTTGGCGCGCCTATGACTATCTTACATTCTTTTGTTATAGCAAGTCTTTGAAATCCAGTATGTATTTTATAGACTTGATAATTTCAAAAGCTCAGTTCTTGCAAGTGTTTGGTTTGATTTAAATTTCATAAACCTGTAGGGGAAAATGTAGACTTTTGCACCCGAAGTTGTCTCAAATATGCTTAAAAATCCCTGGGTCCTACTGGTCCATTTCAGGTGCTTGTCCGGATCTGTGAGGCTAGTGGCTGTCGTACTGAACAGACATCTGTGCCGTCAGCATAGTTAGAATGAGTGAGTGTCTGGGAACTGACGGTGCGAATGTGTGATTGCAGAGGAGACACACCTGGAAGAGACGACCGAGAGCCAGCAGAACGGGGAGGAAGGCACGTCCACTCCTGAGGACAAGGAGAGTGGGCAGGAGGGGGTGGACAGCCTGGAGGTGGAAGGGACCAGTGACAGTAACACTGGCTCAGAGAGCAACAGTGCGACAGTGGAGGAGCCGCCCACAGACCCCATGCCAGAAGACGAGAAGAAGGAATGAGTGTCACCTTGTCTGTGTGTCCGCAAACTTTTTTAAATGAAAAAAAAAAAAAGTTTTTTTGTTTTTGGTTTTCATGGTGTTGTGTGGTCTGTGTATTAATTATTTCCTTTTCCATCAATACCACCATAGTGTTTTCAACCATCAACATCGTAGCCTAATGACAGGCACATACCTTTCTTAGCTTTTTGGGAATGGCTCTTTCCTTTGGATACTGTTGGTAGCTCTCAACTTCTGAAGCCTCAGAACTGAGATTAATCGAGAAGACACCCAGCTCTTTTCGAGAATTACCTTTGATGCTGCAGAATCTACTCTTACAAATGCCTTCCTTCATCTCACTTGGGTGCTCCCCAAAGCCATAGCTTTAAACCTTCCTGGCCCCGTCTTGTGTACTTGTACAGAGGACCTTTTGGAAAACATCCTGTGAGTATGTTTGTTCACTTACCCTTTTTTGTTTCTAATGTCAGATACCAGGAGTTCTCTTACAGGGTAGACTGTAGCCTGAAACTAACTACACATAGATCGGACTGGTGCAGAGATGTCTCCATGGTGGAGTAATTGCTGGTGTGAATAGTCCTTAAAGTGAGCACAGCGCATGTACATTATCTATAGTGATTTCATTCTAGGTAATATGGGATGTGTTCTGGGAAACTCATCCTTACTGTACAGGGGAAAGAAATACTTTTTACCAGGTTGGTTTTCCAAAGATATGAAAGATAAGAAATGGAATGTTCTTTTGTTTTTTTGAGACAGGGTTTCTCTGTGTTTCTTTGGCTATCCTGGAACTCTCTCTGTAGACCAGGCTGGCTTTGAACTCAAAGATCTGCCTGCCTCTGCCTCCCAGTGCTGAGATTAAAGGCGTGAGCCACCACACCCAGTGGAATGGAATATTCTTATAAAACAAACTTCAAAATGATTATCCCATTCCAGAATAAAAACAGGAATGAAGTTTATCCACTTGAACATATTTTGCAGTGATGAAAACCCCAAGGCTTGAGATTCCATAGATCAGAGCCTACCTTTTTGATAAGCCCTTAGTAGACTTAGAGACCAGAAACAAAATAGTTGTTTGTGGTGTATGCTTCCTAAAACCTAGAATAGATTTTTACTGAATAGTGGTATATATGATGGTATATGTTTCTTAAAGATCCAAACATAATAAAGAAATGAAGACAAAGGTCTCAGTGTTTTTATTGCCCTATAGAAGATAAAAGACATATAATTTGATCCCTATTTATGGACATCATGGAATGACCCACAGTCATGAAATGTCATACATAATACCCTTGTCTCATGAACTGTCAGTGTTAATCGGACTGTGAAGAAATCTATGATGTCTGAATAGTGTGTAAGAAGTGTGGCTAAGTAATGAATGTAGCCTGTGCTCATTCAGGGATGCTACACCTGCACTCCTCAGTTACAGTAATTCTCTGTAGTTGACTACCCAGCACCGTTAGTGTTTGATTCTACACTCTTCAGTTTCCTGAGAGGAAGCCTGATGTGTGCGGTCGTCCTTTGGTCATTTTTTCCATGATTCTACATGGAACTTTCTCACAGTTTCTTGTGGGTCAGAGAACTCTGCTATCAACAGGTCTAGGTCTGTTATGGGTGTTGAGCCTGTAGAGCAAGAATTCGGAACGTCTCATTCCGGACAAATTAGATAGCCACAGATAGATAGCCTCCTGAGAGGTGAGATGGAGCAGGAAAGCTGTTAAATACGAGCAGGAAACTTGAGAAGTGTGGGGTTCTTAGAGTGCGAAGAGCATGGAAGCATCTCCTGCCTTCGCTGAGGACTCGGGAAGAAGCTCTAGGCCAGGCTGCTGGCACTGGCCAAACGTGAAGTGTTTAAGATGGACTAGTCAGTGGGGAAGGATTAGACTGAAGTTAGGTTAGACTAATGCATGTAGGCAGCACTTTGAGAAGGTTCTTGATTTAGAGAATACAGAGTATAACAGGTCTTTGATATCCCATGCTCCATAAGCATTGGACAAGTAGCTTAAACTGAGTAAGTATAAAATACACTGAAATGTCTTAAGCCTCTCTACCTCACCTGATGTTCATTTGATTTGTTTATTAGTACATAAATTTAAGGATTTAAATTTTATTAGGTTCTAAGAAAAAAGGAATTTATAATCCCCCAATTTTGTAGAAAATTCTTATTCTGCAACCTGTCCGGACAGCTTACAGGCCTTTCTCTAAATGACTGTGACCCAAACAGAACAGCTAGGTGCAGCATAATCGTGTTCCTGTCAGCAAAAGGCACGTGTGTCAGACTGGTCCTATCACAGATAGCTGAGAAACGCCTGCTGGAATTTCCACTGTGCTCTTACGTGTTTAGGTACAAATGCTTCCTGTTGGATTGTGGGTGCCTCTGTTATTGAATGTGGTAGCACACTGCACTGAGTTATGAGGCAGGACAGAAAAGGAAGACGGTGGGGACATGGAAACAGAAAGGAGCCGCTCACCAAGGAGTCTGGTTGAAGCCTCTGCAAGGCCAGGCAGGACTCAAACAACTGGCGTTTGCCGTGAAGGCTGCCAACAGAACTTTCCAGTATGGGCGCTGTGAGGATGGCAGTGAAGCAGGTTTAAAGCCTGGGGGGTGTGGCCTTGTGGGACCTCGCTCCTTTACCCAGGCGTTTTCTAGGAATTTCAACACTAGCTAGTAATGATTTCCTGCCTCTCCCATAATAATTTATAATCCTGGCAGTGCCCCTCAGGAACCACCCTTTGATCTCATTTGGGTTTCTTCACAACCTTTTGAAGATAATAGCTTTAAAACCCAAAATTTTCTATATGACTATGGTAAAAACAATGAAGTGTCACTCTGAGAAGCCCACACACATGCTCTTGGGTATGTCTTTCTTTCTGAACACCTCTCTTTGACTGTGGCTTATAAAATCTAAATTAAGATACCTCTAATATGAGACTGAGAAATGATTCAGTGGTTAAGAATGTTGGTTGATCTAGAGGATCCGGGTGTGAGTCCCAGTACACACATGGCAGCTCACAGCCATCTGTAACTCGAGCTCCAGTGGATCCAATGTCCTCTTCTGGCCTCTGAGGGCACCAGGCATGCAGGTGGTACACATCCCATACATGCAGGCAAAACACTCATAAATCTTTTTTAAAGACAACTCTAATATAAGCCCAGCTCTGCTTCATACTGTCTAGTCCAGAAATTATTTACTATGCCCAAATCAATGATCTCAAGTCTCTTGAAAGATAAGAGAACCCAGGCTTGGAGGTAGCAACTTGGAACTGTCTCCTTATTCATGGACTTGACAGGTTGTAGCCTAGTAGCCATCATCTGCAGCTGGAGTGCATATCATCTAGGCTTGTAGACACACACTTCATGATGTTTGCTTGACAAAAAGAACCTAATGATAGGTTTTTTAAAAGTCCCTTTTACTAAGTGATGCATGGCTCTATATAATTTTTTTGTTTTGTTTTTTGAGACAGGGTCTCTTTGGGTAGCCCTGGCTGTACATAGACCAGGCTAGCCTTGAACTCAAGAGATCCATCTGCCCTATGCCTCCCAAGTTCTGGGATTAAAGGCGTGCACCACCCCCGACAGGCAGTTGCATTCTTTAAAGCAGAGAATTCGGGAGAAGCAAAGGGCTATCTCATTTTGGTGTGATAATGTAAAAGCCAAATGGAAAATACATAATAGACCCAAGGACTATCCAAAAAAGGAATCTGAGGTCATGGATGGCTACCGAGTGTAGCTAACCCACATCCACATCTTTGGTTTTGCTCCTCCCCATTTCCATTACCAGTCCTGGAGAGGAGACAGTGGGTGCCAACTGGATGAAATTCCTATCGCCTGCAGTTAAACGGAAGCTTTAGTTGTTCATGTGAACAAGCAATGAAGCGGAGATCATAATTTGTTAAATCCTCATTTTAGAAACAGTTCCATTCCACCCCCAAGCGCTACCCCAGTGAGTCTCCACCTGGTCTCACCTCCTGCTTGGGTTTTATCTTGTTGCTCTTCACCCTGGGGGCGACCTTGCTGGAACAGCTACCGCTGACTTCCTAATGATCTGCATTCGGATGGCTTCACGGCTTCCAAATGGAAAACGGACTGCTGGGGAGCAAGTTTGAAGCCCTTTTAGAAGACACCATGCTGAATTATAACTTGACTTACTGTGATAATGAGTCTTCCATCAGTATGGTAAGGGAAACAGCTTAGTTCAAAATGATATGCGTGTGTTAATAACCATTAACACTTTATAAATGTCTTAACTGTCGTCTTGAACCACATGAAATTGCCCACAATTTGATTGGTTTGCTTTTGTGTGCGCGTGTGCTTGTGTACACGTTCGTGTGTGTGTGTGTGTGTGTGTGTGTGTGTGTGTGTGTGTGTGTGTGTATGCAGGTGCACACACGTGGAGACCAGAGGTTGATGACAAATGTCTTCCTCTATCACTCTCTACCTTTTTTTAGACAGGTCTCTCACTGAATTTGAAGCTCAGTGATTGAACTAGTCTGTCTGGCCAGCAAGCCCCTGGGATCTCCACCCTCCCCGCCCCCAACCACCAAGCATTAAGATTATAGGTACACACCACTGTGCTCAGCTTTTTATGTAGGTGTGAGGGATTCGAACTCAGATCCTTAAACTTGTGCAACAAGCACTTTGCCAACTGGGCCACCTCCCATGTTACCTACATAATGACACTTCCACCTTCTTGCTAACAAATCTGCATTTTACACCCCCCCACCCCGCAAGTACAAGTGCTTGTTTGTAGTTTAGAGTGTGAAATGACATTTGCAATTCACTAGTCTGCCCTGCATTGTTCTGTAGTTTTAGTGTTCAAGGAAACCCAGATTAAAATTCAAATCCCAAGGTACTCAGTATGTAACATTCTGATCTTCTGATTTATTTTTATCTTCATTATGTGTAATGTGTCCGTGTCTGGGGGGCGGGGGTATATGCATGGGAGTGCAGTTACCATCAGAGGCCAGAAGAAGACATCAGACCCCTCGTGCTGGAATTACAGGCAGTTGTGAACCACCTGATGTGGGTACTAGGAACTGAACTTGGGTCCTCTGCAAGTGCAGCCAGTGCTCTTAACCACTG